AAAGTTCATTCTATTTACGGACCACCAAGCTCTAAAGTATCTTCACAGCCAGAAAGTGATAAATAAGATGCATGCTCGTTGGGTAAGTTTTCTGCAAAAGTTTCCTTTCATTATTCAGCATAAGTCTGGGACACTTAACAAGGTGGCAGACGCCTTGAGTAGAAGAGCTTCCTTACTCACTATCTTAGCACAAGAGGTTGTGGGCTTCGAGTTATTGAAGGAGTTGTATTAACGTGATGCTGAATTTGAGGAATTATGGGGCAAATGTAATGGGAAGCACCCTTCAGCAGATTTCCACATACGAGATGGTTATCTTTTTAAAGGAGATAGGCTATGTATTCCTTGCTCGTCATTACGAGAAAAGTTGATAAGAGACTTGCATGGTGGTGGTCTTAGTGGTCATTTGGGAAGAGACAAGACCATTGCTAGCTTGGAGGCAAGGTTTTATTGGCCGCATTTAAGGAGAGATGCGGGTGCTACAGTTAAAAGGTGTTATGTTTGTCAGGTTTCTAAAGGACAATCTCAGAACACTGGTCTTTATATGCCATTACCGATCCCAGAGGATATCAGGCAAGACTTGTCCATGGATTTTGTGCTAAGCTTGCCTCGTACACAGCGATGAGTCGATTCTGTGTTGGTGGTCGTTGACAGATTCTCTAAGATGTCACATTTCATCGCCTGCAAGAAGACCGCATATGCCTCTAACATCGCCAAGTTGTTTTTTCGGGAAGTAGTACGCCTTCATGGGGTTTCTAAGACAATAATTTCAGACAGAGATACCAAGTTTCTCAGTCATTTTTGGATTACACTTTGAGGAATGTTTGGAACCAGCTTGAAACGAAGTTCTACAGCTCACCCACAGACTGATGGGCAAACCGAGGTAACAAACAGAACTTTGGGGAATATGATTCGAAGTGTATGTGGAGATAAACCGAAACAATGGGATCTAGCTTTACCACAAGTGGAGTTTGCTTACAACAGTGTCGTGCATTCTGCTACAGGGAGGTCGCCTTTTTCTTTGGTCTATACTTCTATTTCGAAGCATGTGGTCGATTTGGTTAAGTTGCCTAAGCTCCTGGAGTTAGTGTCTCAGCTGAGGCTATGGCAGAAGAGATTTTAGCAACTTAAGAAGCTGTCCGAGCTAAATTAGAAGCAACTGGTCCAAAGAATAAGGATGCATCAGACAAGCGTAGAAGACTCAAGGTTTTCAAAGAAAGAGATGAAGTGATGGTGTTTCTACGAAAAGAAAGATTTCCAGTTGGTACATATCGCAAGCTTCAGCCTCGTAAATATAGTCGTTTCAAGATTTTGCGGAAGATAAATGATAATGCTTATGTGGTGGCACTTCCAGAAGACATGAAAATTTCTAATACGTATAATATGGCTGACATCTATGAGTACCATGCTGATAGTATTCTTTATCCAGAAGAGAACTCGGGGTCGAGTTCTTTGGAGGTAGAGGACACTGATGTAGGAGAATCTTAGATTTATAGAACCTAATTTATTGTTTTCTAGAAGTTTTCCTTTATTTGATGTTTTCCTTTTTTCTATAGGGTTTTACTGGAATTTCATATTTTATGTTTTAAGCTCTTTAAGCTCTCTATATAAGAGGCTTATGTATTCTGTTTTAGGGATAATATATTATTCTTATCTTTTAATAAAAGTTTCGAAGTTTTAAACTTATGGTGGAATCCATAATTTTCTTTTCTAGTTTTTTTTTGAGAACTTGAACTAGTTTTAAGGTTTAGCGTTTGCTGACCTTAGTGATTCCTGACTGCGTCATTACGGTTTGCCCCTATAATTTCCACAATTATAGTAGTAGTAAGATTGCGTTGATGTCAACTGTAGTAATAATATTTTTTTAATACAGTAGAAATTATATAAATTAATAATGTTGGAATTTTAATATTTGATTAATTTATAAATTTATTAATTTGTCAGTTTTAAATTAAATAAATTTATATTAATAATTAAATAATTTTTTTTAAAATAAAAAATTAAAATATTTTCTAAAATTTTCATTATAAAATTAGAGATAAATAATAAAATTATTTTGTTTTTAAAATAAAAAACAACAATATGCTCGTATTTTAATAGATTGTCATAATTATATATTTATTTAAAATTATTTATATAATATTTATTAATTTATGTTATTAATGGAGCTATATTTTATATAGGTTTTAAAAAAATTATTATCTTATTAATTTATTATTTTGTATTAATTTTGAACCGGTATAATTAAGAACCAATAAAATTATTAATTTATCAAGTTTATTAATTTATCAAATATTAATTTTTATAATTTCTACTGTATATAATCCACAACAATATAGTAAATTGGTATTAACCAAAAACAAAGTTATAGTGCAATAATTTGGTTATAAATCTTGCATTGTGGCTTAAAAAATTAATGTTTCCTATTTGTAGATCTGTTAGATTTGGATTGAATTTGGGAAATTTTATTGATTGGATGATTGAATCTGACTTTCTATTGATGTATGTTAAAAAAGATTTCCACTTCTTCTTACTTCGAGATGCATCTCATTTTGACTTTTGCAATCTTCATACACCCAAATAGATGCCAACAAAGCCATGTGTGTAGGGTTTCCTAGTATATATATATTAGGAAAATACCATAAAATGACAAAAGATTGGTAGGAAATTAACTAATCCACATAGGATATTTTGGAGTCCAAACATTAAAATATTTGATCATTTTTTTTTCTCTGTTTTACCTTCACGCGCTATCCAACTTATTATCAGAAAAATTCATATCCAAAATTATCAATAGATGTCTAAGTAGTTTCTATCAAAAATTAAAAATTAAATATCTAGACACATATATACCGTATTCTCCTGTTAATTAACACGTCTTTCCAATTGACTTTTGTGACATCACTTTCATCTTCTTCCGACACCGCTTTCATATTTTTCAGCCAACAATTTCTTAATTTTTTTTTACCAACAATTTTTTGATATATACACATATATTCTCTCTCTTGATCTTCCTCTCCAAATCTCTTGACTTTCCTCTCTAGAGCTCAACAATTTACCAGATCTGGTGAGATTCCAAAAGAAACATGGTTAAAAGTGAAGAATTTTGCTCAATCCGATCTTTTATCAAAAAAAAAAATTGATTTGATATCTAAACATTTTGGAGAACTCGGATATATTTTCGGTACTCTTAATCTCTCTTTTAATTTCTTATGCAATCACACACTATTTATAAATATACATGTCTAAAATAATAAATAACACATGGTTTCCTACATAATAATTAGTACATGTATATATAATAAAATGTAAAGTTATATATTTTCTTAACATGTTAACTTATTTCTTTTTTCATGTAATCTATATCTATAATTTTATATAAAGGTCTAAAATAATCAATATATGTCTATATTGTTAAATATAAAATTGTATGTAATCTTGACATATTAACTTATTTCTTTTATTAGGTAAGCTATATCTATAAGTTTATATATAGGTCTAAAATAATACATACATATATATATATATATTTTAAATGTCAAGTTAATATAAATCTATATCTATAGTATTTCATTTAATTTGTTAATTTTATTAGTTAACATATTAACTTTAGTATTAGTGTATAGATGTTCTATATATATGTAGCTGTGTATAATACATTATAGCATTAATTCTATGGTGTAATTTGAATATAATACAACATATTATCATTGGAGGTAGTTTCCCGAATATTGTATATAACCAAACATATAACAGCTCACTTTACTTTATTATTCAATATTCACTTAATTCACTATGACAACCACGCACGGTCGATAGCACAAGATGTAATTAATTGAAGCAACAAATTTCTTTTCCGCATCCTTTAGCTATTTCCTTCTAGCACACAAGTCTCTTGCTATTTCCTTAATAATACCCCCAAACATTGCTATCCACCTCTTTATCCTTATATACTAATTGGAACAATGAATGTAACTTTGAGAATTGTCTCAAAAGCAACCAAGCCATGTGCGTAGGGTTCTCCATTACGAATATCACATTTTCTTTAGAGCTTTCTACTTCAATGCTTTAATAAATCCTTGTTCACCATGTGTGAAAATCCAAAACAAAGATTTTATTAAAGCATTGAAATAGAAATAGCTCTAAAGATCTTCATTCATAAGAAAATATAATAGAAGAGAGAACTTTGTTGTCACAAAGATGAAAATCTTTTGATTAGTTTCATAAAATGGGAAAGAGAGGCTGCCGTTTTAGCAGCATTAGGTTACCATATCTCTATATGTAAAAAGAGTTGTAAGGAACCCTAAACACATTGATCTTTCGTTGACTTTAGCTTGTTAGATCAATATTGGGGTTTTAGCCTCTATACCAACTTGATCAACTCAAAACTGTAAGAACAAGGCTTCTAGCTCCTCGCCTCTCATCCGCGGCTTGTAGTAAAATCTTGCAAATGTCTAATTGAGAAATAATTTATGTTAATTTGTTCTTTTTCATTTGCTTTCACAAAAATAAAATAAAAAATAGATATGATGAGAAAGAAATACTCTTTGACTAATAATAAAGTAGAACCTCTATAAATTATTATTCAATTTATTAATATTTCGATAAATTTTTTTTTTTTAGTTCCAAAATTAGTTAATAAACCAAATAATATATCTATAAATTAATAATTTTTATAAATTAATAATTTTTTTATAAACCTTCAAAATTCCAATATTATTAATTTATAAAAGTTTTACTATATTATTAAATCTTACAGTAATATAAAAAACATATGCGTTGACTAATCAAGTTAGAAATCTTACTCCATCCGTTTTAAATTAGTCGTCGTTTTAAGATTAAAATTTTGTTTTAAATTAGTTGTCAATGTAAATTTTGGCTTTACATACCAAATTTAATTTCAAATCTTATCAATAATTTTCTTTTTTAATGATATAGTTTAATATTTTTTTTAAAGATGTGTGAAAGTAACTTAAACGATAATGTTTTTTTTTTTTAAACGGAGAAAATTTAGATCAGTATTAAATAAAGCCAGAAACGAGAACGCCTCGAAACCAACCCAACGGAAGCAGAATATAAAGTTCACAAAACCCTAAAATGGAGATTCCGCTCTTATCATCAGAAAATGGCAACACAATCAGTCAGTGCGATCTTCGATCTCAATGATCTTCCCGGAGACGGCGGTAACTCCGACTGTTACATCTTCTCCACCCCTCTCTCTTCCCGTGGTTCCACCAAACACGACGCAATCTCCGTCGAGAACTACGACCGCGATCGTCGAGTCAGACTCAGATCCGAATCCCCGATCTTCATAGATCTTGACCAATACAACAACAACGACGATCTAAGAATCCTCTCTTTCCCTCCAATCCTAGAAAAGGGTCAGTCCTCAAAGGACAAGCCCTTGCGACCTTCGACCTTCTACTGTGAGATTTGTGTTGAATCTAAACCAATCAATGAGTCGTTTCCAATAAAAGGATGTTCTCATTCTTACTGCAACGACTGCGTCTCGAAGTACATCGCTGCTAAATTACAAGACAACTTGCTTTCCATCGACTGCCTTGTCTCTGGTTGCTCCGGGCGGCTCGAGCCAGATCAATGCCGTCTGATACTGCCGCGAGAGGTCTTTGATCGGTGGGGAGACGCTCTCTGCGAAGCGGTTGTAATGCGTTCCAAGAGATTCTACTGTCCGCACCAAGACTGCTCTGCTCTCGTTTTCTTGGACGACAAGGAAGAAGGGAAGATGAAGGAATCGGAGTGTCCTCACTGCAATATAATGGTGTGCGTAGCGTGCGAGACCAAGTGGCATCCCGAGATATCTTGCGAGGAGTTTCAGAAGCTAGCTGAGAACGAGAGGGAAAGAGATGATATTTTGCTGAAGAAAATGGCAGAGAGTAAGAAGTGGAGAAGATGTCCTTCTTGCAAATCTTACATTGAAAAGTCTCATGGTTGCTCATACATGACGTGCAGGTAACTTCTTCTTCTTCTTCTTGTCGGTAACACAAAACCTTGGAAAGTTCTCATCTTTAAACACATTTTGCAGGTGTGGGTTGGCTTTTTGCTACGATTGTGGAACTCTAGCTAAGGACCATTCTAATTATTGTTCTAATTACAGGCATTGATGTTAGCTTTTATTATTGTTTATGTGTGTCCAAAGCTATAAGCTTAATGGAATTAGGATTTCTTTTTGGCACAACTTAGTATTATACCTATCTTTGGATTATTTATTAGGAATAATCTATGGTACCCAGTTTAAAAATGTTCAGTTGCAGGGAAATGACTCCTTCAAATAACTATTTGAGCCAATATATAAAAAGAAATATTTCTTTATCATCCTTTCTAGCATATATCTGCAATGTATTATTTCATATTTCATTCCAAAATATAATAATTGCAAAATAAAATTAAGTTTCCCTCCAATGTATTATTCATTTTATACTTCAAAAAGAATGTTTTAAAAGCTATGCATAGAATTAGATCATTCTGTTTTAATTGAATCCATATATGTATTATAAGTATATTGAAATATGTTTGTAAAATTTATAATATTGAATTCATATATTTGTAAATTTTATTAATTATTAATCATGTTATATTCAAAAAATATTCAGTTTATAGTTAAGAAATATATGTTATAATATTGTATGCAAAATAATATATATTTATTTTCTTTTTTAATTATTGATATTAAATATATTTTTAACAAAATGGTTAGTTGTCTAAAATAGTATTTTGCTATAAAAATAATATTAGAAAAAACAGAATTAATTAAATAAGTAAATGATGAGAAACAATTATAGTGCTGACATCAGCAAATATAATCTCCAACGTTTCTACTTTAATATATAGTTAGTTTATTATTAAAATGATCCATTTGACAGTTTTTGAAATGATTTAATTGAAAATTTTATTATGAAATATGATCATAAAATGACCTATAAGAGAGAGGTCTACTAGTGTACTTTTAATTTAGTCTGCCAGTAATTTGTATTTTAGTCTGTCATTAGTCTACCAATAGTCTACTAATAGTCTATATTCAATTGTAAGATCAATCAGTCTGTCACTAGTCTGCCATTAGACTATAAATAAAATGGTAGCGCTGGTATTTTAAAAATTTATAAAATAAGGGTCATTTTCACAATTTTCCCTCAATGGAGTACCCGTTTTATATTATTTTCTCATTCTGAATTATTTTAGAATATTTCCTCTATTATTAAATATTAATTGCTAACTATACATCTTTTTCAAAATTTACAAATTGATCCATTTATTTGTTTTTTTTTTTCCAAAACTTTCATAAATTATGATATTGTTTACATGTATTATGGCTTTATATCATTATAATTTTTTTATTATATATCTGTTATTTATATTTTAATTTTAGTGTATTTAAATATTTATAATCATCACTTAGAAAAAAAATAGTATCAAAATATTTAAAGCGGATAGGATTGGAGCACAGTTTATTCTAAAATAAATTTTGACACCAAATTTAGAATACAGTGCAGTAGTAGCAACATACGAACTAACTAAAGATATAGATCCATGAACTTTGTTATATATGAACATTTTTCAGAAACTTAAACTTTACATAGATATATAAAAATAATTCTGAACGTTTTTTTAATTTAATTTTGATAGTTGTTTCACATTATATATGGTAACTTTGCATTATTTTGATAAACATCTAATTATATTAAGTTATTAACACAAGGCATATTCCTCCATTGATCTTGGAAAATACAATAATAAGCTTTGAAACGATGTCATATGTCCTCTAATATTTTGACATTTATTTTGAAACGCTATCAGACTTTATATGTTTTAAATTTGACATTTATTTTGAAACGCTATTAGAATATATTTTCACATGTCATTAATTTTTTTTTTTATGTTTTAAATTTGTTTCTAAACATAAAGTCTGATAGGCTACCTTGTGATGATAATGCAACTTAAAGAAGACTACAAGACTTTTTCGGAAATCAAGTAGGTCAAGTAGTCAACTGTCTACAAGGACACAAGCATTTCACTAGTGCATGACGTCTTTGCCACGTTCATCATGGTTTTGTCCTAGTCAAAACGTGTATTATAGGTTTACTTTGTTATGAAGAAATAAATGAGAGGCTGATGGTGCTGGAGCTCGAAATGTGAAAGTGTGTGGTGTTTTATTATTGAAAAGCGGCAAGCAATGCTCGACGACAATGGATTAACGGTTGCACACTTTTCGTTTTTCTCTGTTATAATTTTATTTTTCTCATTGCTTGCCACTATAATCAGAACTCAGAGGGGTTCATGATTCTCTATTTTGTGTAGTTTCGACAATTGATAGTAGTTGGATTGCGTTGATGTTAAGTTTAGTAATAAATATTTTTTTCTTTCTCTTCTGTTTTTTTAACCGCAGTAGTAACTTGGTAATACATCTACAAACTTCGGATTATCCATCCCATATTGAGTTGTGGCCTTAGAAAACTAATGTTTCCTGTTTGTGGGTCTGTTAGATTTTTATTGATTTGATGATTGAATCTGAGTTTCCTCAGATATATGTTCAAAAGATTTTCCACTTCTTTTTATTTACTACCAGATGCATATCATTTTGACTTTGACCTTCTAACAATGTTAAAATAAGTGATCTTATATTTTCATAACTCAGTTTTTTAGGGATGGGCACAAAAACCATAACCAAAAAAACCAAACCATACCGAACCGAAAAAGTATTATGGTTTGGTTATGGTTAAACTTAAAAATCTATTTGGCTATTATTTTTTTTAGCTTTGGTTTAGGTTTGGTTTGGTTAAAAACCGTCAAACCAAAAGGTTTTTCGGTTTTTAAACTAAATTTTAAATAATTTATATTTTTCTAGTTTCTTAATTTAGTTTAGGTATATATTTTATTATTTGGCTTAGTTATCTTTATAATTTACTAACTTAACTCATAAATTTAAAATATAATATTTATAAATGATATCTACATATAAATAATAAAGTAAACCTTAATTTTTTAATAAAGAAAAACGTGATTAACTCTTTTTTCTTCACATTCAAGTCTTCTAGTTCTAAGGTTATAGGTATTAAATTTTAATCTAGATTTGTTTATTGTTTTATAATTATTGATTATGAAAGATTTGATAATTTGTTTGTTTCTCTGTTTTAAAATCTGTCCTTATTGATGAATTTTTTATGATTTAGATTCTATTTTTTAGATTTATTATTTTATTTCACTCATATCTATTATTATTATTTCTATTAGTTTGAACCAAAAACTTTCGTAATAGTATAATTCCAAAAAACCGAAACCAAACCATATCAAACCATACCGAACCGAAATATATGACTTTTATATGGTTTGAATTTTCGTAAAACCGATAAACCACAAAACCGAAGAAATCGAACTGAAACCAAACCAAAAACCGAAGTGTCCACCCTAGGTTTTTTTCTCAACCTGAAAAAAATAATGGCCTCACAAAGATAATTCACATAGCTTCAATGATACTTTATTTTTTCATCGTTTTGTAACCAAGAGTTTGACAAATCAATAGGGAGATTTGCAAGAAACGCAAAAGCTGTACAACCTAATATGTACAACCTAACATCTACAAAGATTATTCATCATTTCTAAAATAGTTATTAAAAAAAAAAGATTATTCATCAGCACTAGTGAAGCCTTTCTGCTCTTAATAATCAAACCGTCTCATATTGTTCATGAGCAGTTGAGCACCATAACAACATGGCATTAATGAAAGTACACAAACAACTGAATTATGAAAGCCAAGAAATCCTAAATAAAAACTGATAGCACAACATTCATCTTTTATCTGTAAATAACATAACAACACAACATTTAGTGAAAGCACACAGAAAACAAATCCTCTGTTCTGAGTATCTTTTTTTAATAGTATAATTTGACTACACCAACCTCATCAATAAAATATACGCTTGCGGCTTTAATATAGTAACACAACATTCGTCTGCATATAACATAGAGCATTCATTAACAATAATCTGCAAATATAGAAAGAAAAAACAAACATGTATTATGAAGGCGGTATTTATTATGTCCTAACAAGTCTTCACGCTTTTAAAGGACTTCAATGCCTAGCTCTTCTTCTGGATCTAAAGAACCTCTCTCTGATTGAGATTAATTCTCTTACAGCCTCACTCATTGCCAACCGGTTCATTGGAGATTCCTCACCACACTTAACTCCCATATTCAAAACCAGCTTCAAGCACTCAGCAACAGGGAATCCGACTCTAAGGCCGCTGTTAAGAATCATCTCGTCCGCAACTTCCAATACTCTCTCTGGCAACGCAGATTTGATGTATATGTGGTGGGTGAAGCTTCCTCTGAACAACTCATTGTTTGGTCGTTTTCCACTGAACATTTCCAAAAGAAGAATCCCAAAGCTATACACATCACCATGTATTGATATCTGCCCTCCCATTCCATACTCTGCATCATAATTCAAAGGAAAAAGATTAGAGATATAAAACAATATTACTAATTTTCTTCGTTTAAACAATTACAAATGTGTGATAGTTTTACCTGGTGCAGCATAGCCAATGGTTCCTCTGAGTCCTGCCGAGCTAAGTTGATTGAGAAAGGATTCTTGGTCGAGGATTCTCAGCTAGACCAAAGTCACTAACATGGGCGGTTATATCGTTGTCTAGAAGGACGTTGCTTGGCTTAAGGTCGCAATGAGCTATGGGTTCATGGCAATGAACATGAAGATAATCCAAAACAGAAGCCACATCAATGGCTATGTTAAGCATTTCAAGAAGTGTCAAGGTTTTTGAGGGCCTATGAATCTCTTCAATTTCCTCTGGGTGCAACCACATATCCAAGCTTCCATTTGGCATGAACTCATATACTAGAGCTCTGAATTCATTTCCAAGAAAATCAATACTCGAACAAGCCGTTAACAGTTTCACAAGATTACGATGCCTTATATCCTAGAGCGATTCACATTCTGCCATAAAGCTCTTCGTTGCTCCGCGTATCTGCAAGTTTAAAACTTTCACTGCAACAATCTTGTTCTCTGCTGGGAGCAACGCTTTGAACACGGTACCAAAGCTGCCTGGCCCAATCAAATTACTCGTAGAGAATCCATCAGTAGCATTTTGAAGATCTCCATAACTTATCCTTTCATGGGAAGCCCCCAAGGTGGAAAGAGTTGCTTCATTGGTCTTGCTCTTCTTTCTGTTTCTATACCAACAGAGAGAAACTGAAGCTATAAACAACAACAAAAGCAAAGATGTGCCTATGCTTACTCCAATCACAACTTTCTTTGAAAGAGAGGAATGCTTTGTCCCCTTTGCTGATGCTTGCGAAAAGCATGGTCCTAGTTTCAATTCCAAGACACCTCCACATAGGTTTTTGTTTCCAAATACTGAAATTATACTAGCATTCTTAAACTTTCCTCTGTTGGCACATTTCCCTCGAAGTTGTTAACAAATAGATTGAGATACTCCAATGATTTAAAGGTTGTCAGATATCCAGGTATGCTTCCAGAGAGATTATTGCTCGAGAAATCAATATCTTTAACAACCACCAACCCACTTATATCTGGAATGGTTCCATCAAAAAAATTTCCTTGCAGATAAAGTTGTTCCATCATGAGACACCTCCCAAAAGTGTCTGGGAATTTCCCCGATAATTTATTATGCGCAACCGATAGTGTAGCAAGATTTTCAAGACGTCCAAGATCTTTAGGTAGAGAGCCTGTCAAATAATTATTTGACATGTTTAGTAAAAGAAGGGGTGAAATGTCCAGAATATCTTGAGGTATAGTCCCATTCAACTTATTATCCTGAAGATATAAATATAGCAGATGGCTACATTTACCAATACTTAGAAGAATGGTTCCTTCAAAGCTATTGTATGATAAATAGAGTCTTAATAGCTGAGTGATGTTTCCTATAGAAGGTGGAATTTCTCCTGACAATCTATTTGAGCATAGATTTAATAATCCCAATCCTGAAAGCTTCCCAAGAGAGCTTGGGAGTGGTCCTGTCAATAAGTTTTTCCCCAATCCAAGTATTTGTAGGTTTTTGAAATTTCCAATGTCATGAGGAATGCTTCCTGAGATGAGATTTGAGTCAAGGCTTAACTCGATAACCTTGATGGACAAATTGGCAATGGTGGTGGGCAAATCACCCCCAAGCTTGTTGTAAGACACAACTAAAGTATTGAATTGGGTGCAGTTAGTTAAGGCACCAAGAAAGTCAAGATCTCCAGCAGAAGAGCTTCCCAAAGAATTTTGATTAAATGCTAGGATTTGCAAATCCCGCACTTTTCCAAAGTTCAGAGGAATGTTTCCTGTTAGACTATTATACTCCATTCCCAGCATTTGAAGACTAGAGATGTTGGGAAGTGTTGTTGGAATGACTCCAGTGAAAATATTATTTCCTAAATACAGCTCTCGAAAGTTTGGTAATAAATAACCAAAATCAGGCCTCAGGCTCCCAGAGAAATTATTACTGAAGATGTTCAAATACTCAAGTGAGGACAAATTTTAAATTCCGGGAGGGAAAACACCAGAAAAATGGTTTGTTGATAGATCAAGATAGATCAGTTGAGTCAATCGAGCTATATCATTAGGAATTTGTCCTTCCATGTTATTACCTCCAAAGCCAAGATCACTAAGGGATGTCAAGTTTCCTAGAGATGCAGGGAGCTTTCCTTTTAGGTTGTTTCGGCCAAGTTCTAAATAAACAAGCTTTTTCAATGACCCTAGCTCTGAAGGAATATGTGCTCCAAGAGAATTTGAAAATAACTCAAGCTCAAACATTCTAGAGCAGTTAAATAGGTTAGCTGGAATCTTTCCTTGGAGAAAATTAAATGATATAAACAAGCTTTGAAGTCCAAACAAGTTTCCCATCTCTTGAGGGATGGTACCACCAAAAGAGTTGTATGAGAGATTAAGTGATATGAGAAAGGAAAGATTACCAATAGATGGTGAAATCACCCCGCCTAATTGTAATCCTCCAATATCCAAACCAGTAACTCTCTTGTGTTTGCGACCACATGTAACCCCGGTCCAGTTGCAAAGAAGCAATGAGTTGTTCCACGAGGACAATTTTATTCTTTTATCTTCAGGAACTTGAGACTTGAACTCAAACAACGATTGCTTATCAGTTTCTTTGTTAAAACTATATGCTTTTAGTAACATGAGAGCACTGAAAGAAAGTAATAGAAAAAGTCTCATGCTTCTAATCTTTTGCAGGAAAGAGATACAAAGAGAAGAACAAATTGCAAAATCGAAATGCCTTTACCTTGTGATGATAATGCAGCTTAAAAAACATTGCAAGACTTTTCTAAAATCAAGTAGGTCAAGTAGTCAACTGTCTTAATGGACAAAAGCATTTCACTAGTGCATATGTTAGAAATCGAACCCAGAACTTCGCACACTCACAAATTCTCAGAAACTCGAACAATCTCTCAAAAAGAAACAAAGAGCGAAATTGAACGACACAAGAGATTTGGTAACCCAGTTCGAAACAATCGAGATGATTGAATCTACGTCTGGAGCCGATCAATCCGGCAAATTCACTAGATCAAAAACTGTTTTACACACTCATGAACTTGAGCTCAAAGAATCAATCAATCGCATTAACACAACTATTGTTACAACAGAATAAAGAAGAAGATAACAAATAGGCTTTTAGTAAACGCCTTATATAACAGCTGAGAGACTCTATCGCGACTAGAGACTCTGCTTTACTCTTCTTCTCTTCTATCTGGTTTCAACTGAACCACCAGAGCAAACCATCTTCAATTCACCGGTTAACTATTAACCTGAAATAGAATCAGCTTAACTCCTTTCAACACTCCACCTTGATTCTTTTTCTGGCTTCTTTTACTAGTGAACTTGCGCAACATGGACTTAACCTCGGCATGAGGCAACTCTCAGCTTCACCTGACCAGCTTCAGAAACTCCAAAGCTGCTTCAAACTTCTTCACAGGAATGCCTTTTGTAAGCATATCTGCAGGATTCTCACTTGTATGAATCTTCCGAACCTCTACAGTTCCTTCTTCAATGGTGTCTCCAGTGAAATTGAACTTTGTTGCCATGTGCTTTGTCCTTTCATGAAAAGCATTATTCTTTGACAAACAGATCGCTGACTGTGAATCACACCACACTGTAGCTTTCTCAGTCTTCACACCCATATCAGCCAACAAACCGCGAATCCAGATTGCTTCCTTGAACGCTTCTGTAAGTGCAACATACTCTGCCCCTGTTGTTGACAACACTACTGTTTGCTGCAAACTTGATTTCCAACTCACTGTGTTGCCACCAACTGTGAAAACATAGCCACTGATCGATCGTCTTTTATCTAAATCAGCTGCAAAATCAGAATCAATGTACCCTTGTACTCTGGAGTTTTCACCCTTCTTATACACCAAGTTCAAATCCGGTGAGCCCTTCAAGTAACGCAGTAACCATTTCATTGCCTCCCAATGATTTGCTCCTGGTTTACTCATGAAACTACTCACCAAACCGATGGCATAAGCAACATCTGGGCGAGTACCGATCATGGCGTACATAACACTACCAACAGCACTTGAATATGGCACTTCCTCTAAGTTGACACAGTTGTAATCATCTTTCACCGCTGACAACTTGAAATGTGCGCCAATAGGTGTAGTTACTGATTTTGCTTCACCCATGTTAAACCTCTGAACTACTTTTTCTACATAGTGAGACTGAGACAAATACAGAACACCTTCCTTTCTGTTTCTCTTAATATCAATCCCGAGAATCCTACTAGCTGCGCCCATGTCCTTCATCTCAAATTCACGACTTAGGACCTCCTTAAGCTTGTTAATCTCCTTCATGCTCCTTGCAGCTAGCAACATGTCATCGACATACAGCAACAGATACACATAATCCTCGTTGCCAACTTCTTTAACGTACACACAAGTGTCATGAATGCTTCGACTGAAGTTTTGATTCTTCATGAACGAGTCAAATCTCTTATTCCACTGACGAGGTGCCTGTTTTAGACCGTAAAGAGATTTCTTCAATAAGCAGACTTGATCTCTACTTGTATTTACTTCAAACCCTTCTGGCTGCTCCATGTAGAGCTCTCGATCAAGTTCACCATGTAAAAATGCTGTCTTAACATCCATTTGCTCCAACTCCAGGTCGTCTTTAACTACCAGTGACATCAAAATTCTGATCGAGAGGTGCTTGACCACTGGAGCGAAAACTTCTTCATAGTCTATCCCTTCTTTCTGAGTAAAACCTCTGGCTACTAAACGAGCCTTGAATCTTTCAGACTCTACTCCTGGGATACCTGGCTTATTTTTGTAAAGCCAACGACAGCTAATCACCTTCTTATCTTTAGGTCTATCAACAGTATTCCAGGTGTGATTCTTCATTAGGGAATCCATTTCTTCTGACATCCCGCCATTCCATCTGTCCCAATCTTTGCTTCTCTTAGCATCATGGTAACACAATGGATCACCAACGTCAATCTCTTCTGCTGCTATTAAAGCAAAAGCAAACGCAGTACTGTCAGTTAGCTTTCCAGGAAGTTGTACTGAATAATCCTTGAACTTAAGCGGAAGTTGAGTCTTTCTCTTGGGTCGATCCCTGTCAACATGGTGACTCCGTGGACTTCCACTTATTTCTGTTTGATCTATGTCATCTTGATCAAACACGACGTCTTCAGACTCTGAATCACTTGAGCTAACTGAGATAGCTCCACCTGCACTAGAGCTTCCTGTTGTCTCTGTAGACCCTGACCCTTGCCCCCTTTCTTTTATAGCACCGGGACTCAATCCTGAAATCTCACTGAGCCTCGGATAAACCAACTCTGTAATTTGTTGAACTCCTCCTTCTGATTTCAGATTCTTGCACACCAAATCTTCGTGAAATACAACATTTCGGCTGATCACACACTTTTCTTCATTTAACAACCAGATCTTATATCTTTTAGTCCCCTGTGGATAACCTAAGAACACTCCTTTAAGCGCTCTAGGCTTCAGCTTCCCCTGATCTTGGTGGACATAAGCTACAGATCCAAATCTTCTCAGGTGTTTATATCCTGGCTTCCGATTTAGCCAAAGTTGTTCTGGTACATTGTGATCTACTGCTGAGGCTGGTGATCTGTTAATCAAGTATGCTGCCGTTGCAGCTGCTTCTGCCCAGAAAACTTCATCAAGGCCAGATTCATCCAGCAAGCACCTCACTTTTTCCATCACGGTTCTGTTCATCCTTTCAGCAACACCGTTTTGCTGTGGAGTGTAGGTGCAGGTCCTGTGCCTTTCAATCCCAAACTTCTTGCAGTAGTCATTGAACTTTATGTTGCAGAATTCCAAGCCGTTGTCCGTTCTCAACACTTTAACCCTCTTATCGATCAGATTCTCAACAAGATCTTTCCACTCACAAAACTTGCCAAATATTTCATCTTTGGTTTTGAGAAACATCAGCCAGACTTTCCTAGTCTTGTCGTCAATCACAGAGAGGAAATACTGATTCCCTGAATGAGATGGAGTCACGTTCGAAGACCCCCACAAATCGGCATGAACGTAGCCAAGAGCATCCTCCGTGTTGTGTTTTCCAACATTGAAGCTCAGCTTTTTGCTCTTTCCCATCACACAATGTTCACAGAATGATAAGTCTTTGACTTCATTCTTTTCAAGCAACCCTTTACCGGATAGAACTTTCATGCTATTCAGACTTAAATGTCCTAGCCTGCTATGCCATAACGCTGTCTTATCCCTAGACAGTTCTGAATTACAGCTTTCACCTACAACCGTTCTACCATCTAGGATATACAAACCATTTTCAAGTTTACCACGTAAAGCTAGCTTCCGGTTCTTATAGAAACTAACGACGCCATCTCCACCTTCATGAGTATATCCTAGCTTATCTAGAGTTCTGGTTGATATCAAGTTCCTTCTGAGATTTGGGACATACCTGACATTGTTCAGGATTTTGATTGTGCCACCATTCGCCTTAAGCTTCACTGATCCACATCCTTTTGATTCTACGGTGTGGTTATCTCCAAGAAGAATCATCGTACTTGCTTTCTCGTTGAATTCTGAGAACCAATCCCTTCTTGACGTCATGTGATAGGTACAGCCAGAGTCGATCACCCACTGATCCTTTGACCTTTGATCATTTACACTCAAAGCTTCAGAGAATGTTAGCTTCTCAACGATGACTCCCGCTTCTCCTTGTTTCTCGTTTTGGAACTTCTTCTTTCTGGCATAGCAGTCTTTCTTTAGGTGACCCTCCTTGCAAAACCAGCAAGTCATTTTAGACTTTGAGCTTGATCTGCTCCTATTTCGATCATTCTTCCCCCTAGACTCCTTTGTTGCAGATCGTCCACGATCTTCAGTGTACAACGCTGCACCTTTGTCACTTCTCTGACCCTCTGGAAATTCTCTTTCCCTTGATCTTGCAGCCGAGATAACAGCATCCAGAGTTATCGTCTCTCTTCCATACTTCAAAGTGTGTTTTAAGCTGTCGAAGCTTGGAGTCAAGGAGGTCAAGAACAAAATGGCCTTCACTTCATCGGATACAACAATATCCAAATTTCCGATCTTAGCAATGATCTTTAGAAACTCACCGACCGTTTGATCAATCGTCTTAGACTCATTCATCTTGAAGGTGTATCATTTCAGCTAAAGATGGATCCTATTTGGTAGTGAGCTCTCCGTGTATAATCGATCCAGCAATGCCCACATATCAGCCGCTGTAGTACAATGTTTGATCTTTCGCAGGACTTGATTATCAATGTTTGCAATATTCAAACCCATAGCTCTCTCGTTCTGATCAAGCTTCTCCTGATCATCAACAATCTTTGTCAATGGAGTAGTCGGAGATGTTGCCGATGTCCCTGATTTCTCAATGCCGGCAACCGCAGGAGCCTTCTCTTCTTTCTTGGTTAGCGGAACCACCGTAGTGAAGTCGCTATCAAACAAGATGTGTTTAATCTTGAGAATCCCGAAGTGCGCCAACATCCGAATCTTCCATAGCGAGAAATCTCCTTCTCCGTCGAACCGATCAACATCAATTCGTGCGCTCTGCATGAGTTCCTTAGCCATAGAACCACGGCTCTAATACCACTTTGTTAGAAATCGAACCCAGAACTTCGCACACTCACAAACTCTCAGAAACTCGAACAATCTCTCAAAAAGAAACAAAGAGCGAAATTGAACGACACAAGAGATTTGTTAACCCAGTTCGAAACAATCGAGATGATTGAATCTACGTCTGGAGCCGATCAATCCGACAAATTCACTAGATCAAGAACTGTTTTACACACTCATGAACTTGAGCTCAAAGAATCAATCAATCACATTAACACGACGATTGTTACAACAGAATGAAGAAGAAGATAACAAATAGGCTTTTAGTAAATGCCTTATATAACAGCTGAGAGACTCTATCGCGACTAGAGACTCTGCTTTACTCTTCTTCTCTTCTATCTGGTTTCAACTGAATCACCAGAGCAAACCATCTTCAATTCACCGGTTAACTATTAACCTGAAATAGAATCAGCTTAACTCCTTTCAACAGCATAACGTCTTTTCTACGTTCATCATGGTTTTTTCTTAGTCAAAACGTGCATTATGGGTTTACTTTGCTATAAAGAAAAAAATGAGAGGCTGATGATGCTGAAGCCCGAAATGTGAAAGTGTATTGTGTTTCCCAGGTCCTTCATAAATTCCTATGGTAGGGTCTTATTCAATGTGGGAATCTGAAACTCAGCCATAGCAGCCGATCAGATCATCAGATGCTCTGTTTTGTTATTTCAAGCTCTGTTTTTGAAGGTTTCCTGATTTCTACAAAACTGAAGCAGCAATTGTAAAACAGCACTTTGTCAAAAAAAAAAAAATTGTAAAACAGATTTTTTTTTGGTGTGTGAATAAATTTAACACATTTAAAAAAAACTGAAAGAAAGGAATTCAACCACAAAGAAAAACTGCAAGACTTTTCGAAAATCAAGTAGAGTCAGTCAACTGTACAAAAAGACAAACTTTTACGAAGAGATCAATCGAGGCTGAGAACTGTGTGGTGTTTTATTAGATCAATAACGGTAAGTAATGCTCGACGGCTGCTTGTTGAGACTTTGAGTTGTGAACATGAGTTTTTTACTGGGTCCGCCAAAAACAGCACTGGTCTGGTGGTCATAACCGAGGGAAGGCCTGCCGAGCCCAGGAGCTAGACCAACCAGCGGATATCTGAAAGTCTGATTTTGGGTTTAGACCATCTCCAATGTATATCTCGTAACTCCAAAATGGAGTTGAGTTTTGCTTCAATGTATATCTCAATTTTTTACTCTAAAAAAAAAATATTCAAAATAGATTTGACGATAGGTTTTGCTCAAATCGAGGATTTGTCGGGAATCTCAGCGCAGGAGCTCTTCCTCTGGTTCCGGTTAAAGGAATCCGAGTCGACATGCCTAGCTCCGGCCTTATTTACTTCGACGTTGGTGTTGTTCGCAAGCAATACTCTTTGTCTTTGTTCGAAACGCCGAGAGATTGCGTTGCTGCTCTTCGTGAAAACGAGGTATGGATTATGACAAAATCTCTGTTTGCTCCGACTGGATTATTATGAGTGATCTCGTCTCACGTTTGGATTTGTTAGTAGAAGTGAAGTAGTTTATGAAATTTATTGAATGGAGAAAGATTGGAACATCTTTAAATTGTTAAACTTTGCCAAAATGATCTTATAAACAAAAGTGCGTGCACATGAAGATAACTCAAATCTGCTTTACTAGTAGTATAGTCCCAAGGTTTTGCAATGTCAAGTTGTTGTTGTATATTCGGATGCTGCATCCCATTTTCGTGAATTTGTTTAGATTTTTGACTAGCAAGGAACTGAAAATCGATGGAACTCGGAAAAAAATGTTTTCGTTTTTCTTCAAAATGTTTGGATTCATTGATAATGAGCTAAGGTGTTTCTACAATGGCTATTGCAGGTTCAGTATTCAGTATTGTCGTTGAATCAAGTAGATCAAACTCTTGGGAGAAACAGTATTTAGCCGGAGTTTAAGAAATGTTGTTATACTATACCAGAAAGATAGACAGATTCTTGAAGATACAGCACTGGCCTGCCGAGCCCAGGAGCTAGACCAACCAGCGGATATCTTAAAGCCTGATTTTTGGGTTTAATGCTTAACGGTTCCACTTTGGATTTTTTCTTATTTACAATTTGCAAAACATAAAGTCAAAAATTGTAGTTTTCTATTAAAACTGCAAAATAGCGTTTTTCACTGAAATTGCGATATCTTATTTTTTGCCAAAACTATCAAATCATGTTTTACTACAAAAACCACAAAATATGTTTTCCGACAAAACAGTGAAATCGCGTTTTTCCGCTAAAATTGTGAAATCGCATTTTTTATTAAAATCGCAAAATCGTGTTTCTTTTGCCCAAATCACATTTTTTTTGGCAAATCCACAAAAGAATTTTGATTAAGTGCTACGATTTGCAAATCTTGCACTTTTCCAAAATTCAGAAGAATGTTTCCTGTTAGACTATTATACTCTATCCCCAACATTTGAAGACTAGAGATACTGGGAAGTGTTGTTGGAATGACTCCATAATTGTTAAAATTTTTGATAAATCTACAAAATCAAGTTTTCTCATCCAAATTATAAAATCGCCCCCACCCACCCACCCCAAAAACGGTAAAATCAAGTTTATCCGCAAAACTCGTGAAATTGTGTTTTCCATCAAAATATTGAAACTATATTTTTTCGCACAATCAAGAAATCGTGTTTTCTCGTCAAAGCGGCAAAATTGAGTTTCCCGGCCAAAATCGCAAAATCATGTTTTTTTGCCAAAACCGCAAAGTCAAATTTTTCGCCAAATCTGCAAAATCAATTTTTTTTTTCTGCCAAAACTGTGAAATTGTGTTTTTCTACCAATATCACATACATCAAAATTGTAAAATCACATTTTACATCAAAAATATTAATTTTTTTTCTCAACAAAACCGCAAAATTGTGTTTTTTTTCTTATTCGTTTAATATCCAATAGCAGTAACCAAATAATGAAGGGTTTATTAAAAAAATTTACATAAACTACTTTCAAAAAACCAGTAAATTTTAAGATTTACTGGAATTCCACCTTTTTCTTTCAGTTTTCTGAGAAAAAAAGAAAAGTTTGCAGAGTAGACTAAATTATAAATGCAAATTTGGATCTCAATATTAAAATATTTTATGATCTGAATTGTTAACCAAAATCAATTTATATATGTCAAATATAATAATTTGAAGATTTAGTTGTAAATATATTTTAGTTCAAAGATTAGTATGGTTAAAATCAAAAAGAATATAGTTAAGAAATAAAAGTTATGATTAGATGAAAGTATAAGTATTTTAGTAATATTTATTAAAGTCACTCAAATAGTTCATTTAAATTTAAAATCAACTGAGCAAACAAACAAAGTTACACACCCAGATATAAGTGAAGTATCTAAATAATTTAGATAGAAATAACAGTTGAGTAAATAAATTGTTATTAGTGTCCAATGAATTGAGCTGTCATTAATTTATATTTAGTTTATAATAAATTTGTAATGAAAAAAATAGTTACAAAGGTAATGTTAGTATTTATAAAATATTTTTTAAAATATTTTTAAATCTATTTTTATAATTTTATTTTAGAGCATTTCATATTTAACATTATTTTCTCCTTTTTTTTCATTTTAGATCATTTTTCATATCTCTGTGTTACTACTCTTTAACTGCTCCTTCCATCATTTAATCAAAATTAACTCAGTCCGGTTACTCCGGTTTAATCGATTCCATTCTCTACCTAAGTGTCGAGCGACGATATCCAGAACAGAACAAAGCCAATTGCAACTCGGTCTCCATCTATGTTTCTTCAACCACTTCTTATCCATCTGAAAATTGAATCTTTTGGTACCATTATACTCCATCCCCAAACTATGATTTGCAAATCTTGCACTTTTCCAAAGTTCAGAGGAATATTTCCTGTTATACTATTATACTCCATCCCCAAAATATGAAGACTAGAGATATTGGGAAGTGTTGTTAGAATGACTCAAAGTGTTGTTGAATTTTTTAGCAAAATCAAGTTTTCTCATCAAAATTGTAAAATCTCTCCCCTTTCCTCAAAATAGTGAAATTGCGTTTATTCGCAAAACCCGCTAAATCATGTTTTTCACCAAAATTTCGAAACTATTTTTTCCCGTCATAACCAAGAAATCGTGTTTTTCATCAAAACCGCAAAATTGAGTTTCTCGGCCAAAATTGTAAAATCATGTTTTTTTGCCAAAACCGGAAAATTGAGATTTTCGCCAAATCTGCAAAATCATTTATCTTTTACTAAAACTGTGAAATTATGTTTTTCTGCCAAACTCAGGGATATCAAAACTATGAAATCACATATTACGCCAAAACTATTAAATTCTTTCCCTCATCAGGGTAATCGGTGACTTCTTCTTCAGAGTCGGAGCTCATGTCACTCGTCACTCAAACAATATCTCTCTTCAACTCTATGGATTTTGATTCCCAGCCGAAGGCCCTATCGCAGTTGATATCACTACTTTCTCACAAAATCTCTCTTGGCGACTCTGTAGATTCGTATTTGGAATCCTCGTCACTCATGAGGCAAACATTGAAACTCAAGCCGCAGCCAGAGCTCATGTTACTCATCCATCAAATAATCTTCCTCGCCTACTATATGAATTCAAAGTTGGAGAAGCTTATTTCCTTATGCCCTCAAGTACAAGTAGCATTGGTTGAAGGAAAAATTCAAGTGTATGAAGAAGTCTTGTGGAGCAACAATAGGAAGTGGTACTGTCTCCCTGGAAGTTGGGACAAATTCAGGTCTGCAAGAGAAGACGCAACCCATTTTCTCTGTCGAGGTTGTAGAGGCAAGAACCATGAAAGATATGGAAAGGCTCCAGTTGAAATCAAACACCCTCTTCATCCAAAACATTCTCTTCAGCTTGTCTTATTGTACAAGTATAGTGGAACGAGGGAATGCCATTGCTGTGGTGAAGATCTCATAAAAGTATTTTATTATTGTTCAACTTGTGATGCTGCTATGAATATAGATTGTGTGGAGAAACCACCAGTCTTATCTATAGACCATCCAAAGTGGCATGATCATGCGCTGGCTTTGTTTCCAAGACAGGCTTCCTTAACCTGCAATGCATGCGCCTTGTCCGATTCGAGCTCTCCTATCTATATGTGCCCCCCTTGTGACTTTGTGATCCATCTAAAGTGTACCCTCTTACCACGTGTCATAAGGATATCTCGACATCTCCATCGTATTTGTTCTACGCTTTCTTTTGATCAAGGAGAGTGGTCTTGTGGTGTTTGTCGCACAAAGATAGAAAATGATTATGGGGGCTATTCTTGCATCAAGAACGATTGCTATTATGCGGCTCATTCAAGATGTACCACACAAAGCAATGTGTGGGATGGCTTAGAACTTGAGGGAGAGCCTGAAGAGATTGAAGAAATAGAAGTTAAGCCATTCGTGAGGATAAGCGATGGAATCATACAGTATTTCAGTCATCAACATCATCATTTGAGACTTGATAAGAACACGGGCAGAGATTACAACGAGAATAAGCAGTGCCAAGCATGTGTCATGCCAATCTATTTCGGTAACTTCTATTCTTGTTAGAATGTCTCAAAGTGTTATTGAACTTTTTAGCAAAATCAAGTTTTCTCATCAAAATTGTAAAATCTCCCCCCTCCTCAAAACAGTGAAATTGTGTTTATTCGCAAAACCCGCTAAATCATGTTTTTCACAAACATTTCGAAACTATTTTTTCCCGTCATAACCAAGAAATCTTATTTTTCATCAAAACCGCAAAATTGAGTTTCCCGACCAAAATTGTAAAATCATGTTTTCTTGCCAAAACCGAAAAATTGAGATTTTCACCAAATCTGCAAAATCATTTATCTTTTACTAAAACTGTGAAATTATGTTTTTCTGCCAAACTCAGGGATATCAAAACTATGAAATCACATATTACGCCAAAACTATTAAATTCTTTCCCTCATCAGGGTAATCGGTGACTTCTTCTTCAGAGTCGGAGCTCATGTCACTCGTCACTCAAACAATATCTCTCTTCAACTCTATGGATTTTTATTCCCAGCCGCAGGCCCTGTCGCAATTGATATCACTACTTTCTCACAAAATCTCTCTTGGCGACTCTGTAGATTCGTATTTGGAATCCTCATCACTCATGAGGCAAACATTGAACCTCAAGCCGCAGCCAGAGCTCATGTTACTCATCCATCAAATAATCTTCCTCGCCTACTATATGAATTCAAAGTTGGAGAAGCTTATTTCCTTATGCCCTCAAGTACAAGTAGCATTGGTTGAAGGAAAATTTCAAGTGCATGAAGAAGTCCCATGGAGCAACAATAGGAAGTGGTACTGTCTCCCTGGAAGTTGGGACAAATTCAGGTCTGCTAGAGAAGACGCAACCCATTTTCTCTGTCGAGGTTGTAGAGGCAAGAACCATGAAAGATATGGAAAGGCTCCAGTTGAAATCAAACACCCTTTTCATCCAAAACATTCTCTTCAGCTTATCTTATTGTACAAGTATAGTGGAACGAGGGAATGCCATTGCTGTGGTGAAGATCTCATAAAAGTATTTTATTATTGTTCAACTTGTGATGCTGCTATGAATATAGATTGTGTGGAGAAACCACCAGTCTTATCTATAGACCATCCAAAGTGGCATGATCATGCGCTGGCTTTGTTTCCAAGACGGGCTTCCTTAACCTGCAATGCATGCGCCTTGTCCGATTCGAGCTCTCCTATCTATATGTGCCCCCCTTGTGACTTTGTGATCCATCTAAAGTGTACCCTCTTACCACGTGTCATAAGGATATCTCGACATCTCCATCATATTTGTTCTACGCTTTCTTTTGATCAAGGAGAGTAGTCTTGTGGTGTTTGTCGCACAAAGATAGAAAATGATTATGGGGGCTATTCTTGCATCAAGAACGATTGCTATTATGCGGCTCATTCAAGATGTGCCACACAAAGCAATGTGTGGGATGGCTTAGAACTTGAGGGAGAGCCTGAAGAGATTGAAAATAGAAGTTAAGCTATTCGTGAGGATAAGCGATGGAATCATACAGTATTTCAGTCATCAACATCATCATTTGAGACTTGATAAGAATCTTATTTCCTTATGCCCTCAAGTACAAGTAGCATTGGTTGAAGGAAAAATTCAAGTGCATGAAGAAGTCTCGTGAAGCAACAATAGAAAGTGGTACTTGTAGAACTAATAGACCTTAAAGGTTATGCAATAAACGAGTGAGACAAAGTGATCAACAAGACTGAAATTTTTTTTTATTAAAAATCTCTTAAACAATCTTTATACATTTGTTTAATCAAAATTACACAATGTTGCAGCTTCAACTTGACACTATCAATTTCAATTCTACCCAGCATAGCAACAGCTATGATCTCTCACAATCGCTAAAACCTAAACTCTCTCCAGTTTTTGCTCACCCCCGTTTGAGCTGACCTTAAACCCTTAACCTAACTCTCAATATATATTCCCTCATCTATGCTTCTCACACCAAGCTCATTCAATGCAGTATCTTCTTAGGACACCAGAAATGAAAACTAAATATGTTCCTTAATCTTCACGAAAGACGTTGTCAAGCCCACTCTAAATTTCGCGCCAAGTGTGTGTGACCCAGTTTCCGGCTATTTCATGAATCTCCAGCTTATAATCTCCCCCTTTGTATTTCAATGTGACACCTCAAGCTCCCTGAAATGTTAGTCTTACAGTCGACAAGAAAGAACAGAGACCACATGACATTTCGAATTGAAAATATCATAAATAAAACATCACAGATGGAGTTCAACCACAAAACATAAGTAGTGTTCTACGAAGATTCCAAAGCTCAAGGCTTGTTAAAAAAATACAAACAAGAAAGATTAGTCATCAGCTACATAGTCATGTTTGCCACCAATCCAATCATCCGGTTCCTCTTCATCGGCACCATTGTTCTCCTCCTGATTTTCCTCTTCATCTGATTCATTTGGATCTTTTTTGGATGCTGCAACGTTGGGACTGAATCCATACTCTTCCTCTGCTAGAGTGCGCATTCAAGATACAAGACAGATTAAGTCTATAGCTAGATAAGAGACAAAGCAGGGAAATGTACTTACGTGCTACTGAATTATACGAATGATATTGAACAAGTCATTTGCAAGAGATGGTGCCCAAACTGGTTCAGGCCTACCAGATCCGCTACCAGCTTTAGGATCCATGGTGATCTTGAGTGGGTAGCTGATCAAAGGACCATCACCGTTGTGACATTGAACAACCCTATGGAAGACTAACAGTTGATAGATGAGGTTTGGAAAGGATAAAACTCGATCAGCTAGCGCCTGTTGTTTGGCAATGGCAAGAATCTGATCATACACTAATTTTTCAAAATTAAATTCCTTCCCCATAAGCAACGCATACACAAACCGAAGCCTATCCTTGACCATAGTAGTCTTGTTAGTAGTAGGCATCCAGTTGCGACAGCACAAATGATACTTAACAACACAACGTTTGGAGAGATGACATGAATAAAGACCCTCCAAGTGAAACCGCTGTATATCCGTAAGCGCGCCAATCATGTTGTTCAAGTTGGCAGGTGACCTGAACATCCGGTTGATGGCAGCATGTGACAATTCAAACATAAGTCCCCGAACGTATACGAACTTGGAGACATGACCGAGACTTGATATCACACAAGTTAGCATAGAATTCTCGAACTACTTTGGTACTATAGGGTTCGACATCAAGAACAGTGTACATCATTCCCGACAGAATAAGCACTTGCTTAACCGTTTCAACCTTTGGATCAGTGAGTGGAAAGTACATGGCATTGTGAAACATTCGAAGATCCAACGATTCGTACCTCAAGGCAGCCGCTTCCGAGGAAAAATCTCTAAAGAGTGTTTGAAGTAGTCTCTCCATGAATATTATCTTCTTGATCCAAACCTAAAGGCTTTTTGGTTTGCCTCATAGTGAGGATCAGTCTCCAAAAACTCAGTTTCTCCCGGTTCACGATTGTCAGCATAGTCTTCCTCATCCCATCAGATGATGCAGAGGAGGTTGCATATGAGGCGCTGACGGAGATCAGATCAGAACCAGAGTGAGTCTCAGACGGAAGAGGACTCCACTGTAGTTCAAGCCTGTCGTCTTCGAGGTCACGAATTACTACCAGAGCTTTTCCCGATCGTCGATTTCCGGTTGGATTGAGCAGTCGGAGAAGTGCTTCAGCAAGGGTTTCTGAATCATCTGGCACTAATCGGTGAATACGTACAGATTCAATCAAGGTTTTACGCGATTGAGAATGAGTGGAGCGAGTAGAAATCATCGCAGATCTTGGGAGAGTTCTCACAAAGAGAAGAGATGGGAGAAAGCACTTATATGGTTTGAGATAACACAGAGGCAGAACTAGTTCTGGGACATGAACAGTTATTGATCATAGATAAAGGGGCGGCAACCCTAAAAACATTCTCAAAAAAGCATTAAGTCCGTAAATGCACACAGGCACAGGAGGCCCAATAAGATCAACTATGTTAATAAAAAAAAAGAATATGTGTAGCACATTTTTGACATGTTTCAACAATCATTCGAGAGAGAAAAAAATAAGGACTTCATACTATTATGCAAATTTGATCATGCGAGCAACTTTAACCATACAATACTCATGACCACGTCTTGAGTCTTCACACTGAGTCGTTAGGGAGAGGAGTTATTGATTGTCTATTAACTTTGATACTACACTAAAAAAAGTTAAGAAAAATTATTGGCTCAAATGCGCAGCTTACCCTCAGCCGAGATGCTTTTACGCACTTGATCACTCACAGTTCTTCACAGTGACTTCCCTTGAGGAACACCATGTGAACCAGAGAAGAAGAGTGGCAGGAGACTAGTGTCATCATCCTCTGCAACAGTTCCATTTGATGATTTTGTTCCATTAACACACTGAATCATCCAGAAATCACCGTCTAACATCAAATTAGTATGCAGCAACACTCAGTCGAGCTGCTTTCACATAGGGGGAACAACTTGACAAAGGTGTCGAGGATTATCCATCACACTCAATGTTCTTTAGTTATTTTGATCATAACTCGTTACAATATTATAAGTTGATTGTGGAAGCAACCAATTCTGAATTGTAGATCAATCATCTCAACAAACACTCTTAAAGTTTTGATAGATATTGGATGACTTATCTAATCTCCTGACTCTCCACAATCCCATCCAAACAGTGATCAATGTCAGACACAAAATTTGGTTGCATCCAGGTCCGATTTTGAGTGTTTTTCTCTTGGGACATTCACTTGCGTTTCCCTTGGAAATGTCAACTGTGCCAGAACATTGGTTGATTTGCATGTGAATGTTTTAATTCCTGTGTGAATCCCATGTGTCTTAAGATTACAGAACCCTCCCCCTGCGACTCACACAAGAGCTTAATTTTCACACACACCTAAAGGCTTTCTAAGAAATAGAAAGGTATTAGGATCAAGAGGCTTAGTAAATATGTCTGCAAGTTATCGTTCAGAAGCCACATGTTTGATAACAAGCTTTTCCTCTATAATTCTCTAACAAAGTGATGCTGAATGTCAACATACTTTGTACGAGAATGTTGAACAGGATTTTATGATCTATCTATTGCACTTCTGTTATCACAATGAACGATAATGGCGTCAGATTTCATAATGTAGTTTGCAAGCATCTGTTTCATCCAGAGCAATTGAGTACTGCAACTCCCTAGAGTAAGTACTGTGCTTCAACTGTAGACAAAGAAACACAGTTTTGTTTCTTGCTGTGCCAAGAGATCATATTATTTCCAAGGAAGAAACCGCCTTCTGAAGTGCTTTTCCGATCATCAAGACAACCTGCCCAATCTGCATCACACAAACCTGCAAGATTCTCATTAGTCTCTTTGGTAAAGTATATTCCAAAGTCTAATGTACCTTTCACATATCTGATAATTCTTTTCACAGCATTCATGTGAGATGCACGAGGTGAGGCTTGATATCTTTCATATAGTCCAACACTAAGATATAGATCTAGTCTGCTAGCCTTAAGATAGAGTAAACTGCCAATAATCGCTCTGTAGAGTTTTTCATCCACTTTCTGACCCTCGATGTCTTTGGACAGCTTGTTTGTAGTACTCATTGGCGTCAAGGTGATTTTACTTGTCTGCATATAGAAACGCTTGACCAGATTCATTGCATACATTGACTGAGACACAAAGATACTTTCTTTAGTCTGTTTCACTTGAAGCCCAAGGAAGTAGTTGAGTTCACCAACCATACTCATTTCAAACTCTTTAGTCATGGTTGACATAAACTTTTTAACCAGCCGTTCACTTGTGCTACCAAATATAATGTCATCGACATAAACTTGAACACTAAGAATGTCCTTGTCAATGTGTTGGATGAAGAGTGTTTTGTCAACACTTCCACGCATAGAGTTTGAGGTAAGCAGGAACTGAGTAAGTCTTTCATACCATGCTCTTGGAGCTTGTTTCAAACCATATAACGCCCTCTTGACTTTGTACTTATGTTCGGGATGCTTTGGATCCTCATATCCCTTAGGTTGAGCCACAAAGACTTCTTCTTGAAGCAGACCATTCAAGAAGGAACTCTTAACATCCATGTGAAAGAGTTTGATGTTTAGTATGCAAGCAATACCAAACAGATGTCTTATAGATTCAAGTCTTGCAACTGGAGCAAAAGTCTCATCAAAATCAATCCCCTCAATCTGTGAGTAGAGTAGCCTAAGAAGATTCACACATCACTTATAGAATCAAACTTCCCTATTTGATCTTTGTCATTCAATATATAGCAGATGCATCCAAAGATGTGAAAGTAACATAGATTTGGAGTCTTCCCTTTCTATATCTCATATGGAGTTAGATTTGTACCATGCTTAACATATATTGTATGAATGATGTAGCATGCAGTGTTGATTGCTTCAGCCCAAAACCTCTTAGACACATTGTTTCCATGGAGCATTGCTCTGGCCATTTCTTATAGAGTACGAAATTTCCTTCCTACCACCTCGATTTGCTGTGGAGTTCTTGGAGCATAGTATAGATGTTTGATTACTCAGCTGTTGCAGAACAACTCAAACATTGTATTTTGAAATTCACCTCCATGGTCACTTCTGACCTGGACTATTTTTACCTTTTCATTTTTTAAGTTGCATAGTCAAGATCTTGAAACT